GCCTAATTAACAATTATATTTAAGTTTATAAACTAAAAACGTAAATGCGAGTATTAGCATTCATGCTTCTAAGGTTATGTTGGACCAAATAAATAAGTGTTTTTTATGAATTTCTCATAGAAGCACTTTTGTTATTTTTCTTAATATATTTGGGCAAGTTGGCTTTTCTTGTTATTACATTGATATTAATCATTACCATCAAAATATCCATATTTTTTAAATGTTACAAAGGTAATAAGGTCTTGTCCTGGATTCCAATAACACTATTGGCTTGAAATTGCCCTATAGGGTTAAAACAACCACAGCTGACACAAAGCACTGTACATATCAGGTAAAGTTAAAATTGTATAAAAAATATAGAAGTTTGAATGAATAAAAAAATATAAATTAAGAATTAAGATTAATTTAATTAATTAACTGAAAGAAATAAAGCCATTATAAAAACAATAAAGCAAAAATGACAAAACAACAACATATAAACTGGATTGTAAAGTGACATCAGAGGACTTTATTGTAAATTGTTGCTTCGTAGTCAAATTTAACGAACTGAATTAATTCTGAGGGATTATCTTCTCCCTAACCAGAGACTGAGAGAGGGGAACTATTAGCAGGACGGGGGGTAGATTATGATGCTAAAGCTGATATCCTATATAACAGGTGGTGATGTGGTTGTGGACCCAAACGCAGAGTAAAAGCAGACAGAGATGCATTTTTGATGATTTCATGAAGGTCCAATGTCAACAGAAACAAAATCAAAAACAAAATATAGAAAAAAACAGAAGACTTCAGGGAAAACACACATGAGGAGCAAAGTAACGGTGAGGAAACAACACTGAGAAAGAGGGGTATAACGGAGCCGCCTGTGGAGCTGGTTGACAAGTTCCTTTTGTATCTCTGCTTCTATCTCCTTGAAACCAGCCTCAGCAGATGGGCGCTCACACTGAGCCTGGTTCTGCTGGAGGTTTCTTCCTGTTTAAAGGGAGTTTTTCCTCTCCACTGTCGCTACAAGCATGCTTAGTGTGAGGGATTGCCTTCGAGTCAATTAGTCGATGCAATCAACTGATTTTCCTTTTTGAGAACTTTGAACCAATTTGACTGGATGATCTGGTTGAATTGTCTCTTTAAAGAGCTTTTAGGCGATGTGTTGTGAATTGGGGTTATATGCATATAAATGGTAGAAGGAACAAAGAGTGTGCTAATAAGCTGACAAGGAGCAGGTGTCGGTGGAAGCAACTAGAAGCTAGGGGAAAGGAGACGGGAACAACGGGACAACACAGAGCAACACAAAAAACACAACACTGCCAGAAAACAACTACAATTACACAGAATTACAGTGAAACTAAGAACTTAAAAAGAAACCTAACAAAGGGCAGAACCCTGGCAGTATATTGGGCTCCAAATTCAAGTTTTTTAATCAGTTAGTTTCTTTTTTTTTTATGAATATGGAGGACATTTGAATGCTTTTAAAACTCCTAGAAACTTTATTTCATTCTTAGCTCTATTATTTTACACTGAACCAAAATTTATTAATTAACACAATAAAGATATCATGGAACCTTAATCTTGGCTATAACTATGATGTCTATGAATCTCTAACCTCTTTAAAAAACTGCTTCAGCGCCACAAACTTTCCCACCGTGTGAGAGAGCTGTGCCTTAACAATTTAAATAGGAAAGAAACTGTCGAGTTGTCCAACATTGCATGTTTAAAAAAAAATATTTGCAATTCATCATTTCAAATAAAAACATATTAGATAAACTGTTAGATGTTTGATAAATGTAATTTATAGTGAAAGAAATACTTGAGTTTAACTGTGAATTATTTGATGGTTATAAGACATCATGTGGGTCTGCAGCATTTACAGCCAGAGGAAAAAGCTAACAGTGCAAAGGTTTTTATGACTGCTCTGGTGTGGAGCTGTTGTACAGCTTAACCAGATTCTAAAGGTCGGCATGATTTAGACTTGGGAAATAACCTGATTTTAACAACTAACTCCAGTTTTCCTTCTATAAAGAGTTTTTCAACAATCTGTGCTTTATCCCTAATGCTCTCTTTAGGCTTCCGTAGTTTAGAGTAAATATCAGCCCGTCACTATTTGTTCTTAGATGTTACTCAAACCTGATAAACCAGCTTGTTGTATAATAGCTGCAAACACACCTTTACTGTTTGCTATGGCAGGGCCTGCACAATTGCAAAAATTGCAACTAATTTCCGTCTTTTTGATCAAATAAAAGCGTCTTTTTTTATTCCCTCATCTCACCTTTCCTACTATTCTGTCCTTTATATTGTTTTTATATGATACTCCTCTTATTAACTGATATACTCTGTAAAGTTATTAATCTACTTGGGTTGATTAATTGAAATTCTTTTAGTAAAATAGCAGCAGGGGTGGAAAATAACTAGTGACATTTATAACTAGGACCATATTAACATAATAAAAATTATATATAAACAACTAATGCTTGTGAATATTATTCCTAGTGGTGAAAACAGTGGATTAGGATTTATTTTAGAGAGTGCTATCTGAGACTATTTGAGATGAGAGATGGTTGGAATATTAGAGAAAGGATGGGATGAAGATCAGAATCACCAAATTAAAAGAGAAAAACACCAGAGAAATTTCTAAGATATGAGAAATGATCCAGAAGGTTTAATTTGACAGAGAAAGATGCTGAGATGAAGATATGATCATTTTTAGAGAACCTTAAAGACATCTACGACTCATATAGGTTATATTAATAAATCCTTGTTGAGAGATACAGTGCGCTGGAAGCTTTTTTTTAAACTGTGGACAAGTCTTAGGCCACGCCCTCTTCCTATGCACCTGTGCCTTTAGGTGTGCTGAGATTTTCCATTGACCTTTGAAAATAAATCTCTATTTAGAAATGGGATATGGAAACACATTTTGATATTGCTGTATTTAATAATGGATTAATAATAATTTAATATTAATAATTACATTTATAATGTTGGACTTTTAATGATCTTGTTTAAATGTTAAATTAGAAATTTCTGTTTTCCTTTTTTAGTGACTCCTGGTCCTCCATAATGTTAGTTTTACAGCAGAAAAACATAGCAGATAAAGGAAATTCCACAGGTGAATTCAAGACTAAATAATATGAAAGAAGTTAAGCTGTACAGAAGAGGAAAAAGTTGAGACATAAAATTGTTTCAAGAAAGTCACGTGGCCGATACAGGAGCTGTTTCGGACTGACTGTCACACTAAACTGTCTTTATAAGCGCTTCTGTCAACACAACAAATCTGCCAAAAAAAATCATCTGATCATTAATTAATAAAGAAAAATGGATCATCCTCAAGGGAAAAGAGAGGTTTTAACTATGCGGGATCATTCTCATCTCATATTTGATTTAATGTTCTTGCTCTGTCCCTTGGTTTGCTGTTAAATAAATAAATCTTAGTCCCACATAGTCATTTAAATATTCCTTTTATTGGTTCAAATGTATGGATTGTCTAAAAATCTATCTGAAAATTTGAAACATATTTTCCAATTTAAACGAAAATATAAAATAACACATCAAAGCAAACAATGGTTTTAAATATGATTTTAATATAAGCCATCAAATCAGGGTCAGTTTAGTCCATCAGAGGCTGCCTGTAGTGTCTTTAAATGTCCAGCAGGTGTCAGTATTCAGTGACACAGTATGGAAACAATAGTTTGCCAATGTTTCAAAACGCTTCATGACGCTTTTTGAACCACTAGGAAAAAGAAACATCTCAGAAAGAAAAAAAATAAAAATACTCTGCAGTTATTAATAGAAAAAATATTTAGTTTCAACTGATAAATTTTCAATGACTTCAAATCCCAGTTTGAATGTATAGTGGAATCCGCTTATAGTGGTCACGTTGGTGCAGAGCCAATTTGAACACTATATTAGTAAAACCAAATTTACCGTTATTTCACTTACTTTTTATGCAGAATATCATCTAAATGCCATTTGTATGGTTTTTCAATGAGAAAAATGAAATGAAACGGATAGCTTCTGCATTTTATGAATTTTATTACAGTGCCATGCAAGTTTAATTACAGTGCTGTGCACAGACATAACTCTTGTTGTCCATGTAACTTATTATGTGCTGTGCGTCGGCTCTGCTGTGCCGCCAGTGCATTTTTTTAACAAGTCTAAAAATAAAGTTTGAAATAAAAGCATAATCACAGCACAGTACTGCGCAGTGTGGAAACATAACTATGATAGCCTACAGTAGGTCTGTGTAACTTATACTGTGCGTCCCTCTGCTGTGTGACCAGTGCATTTTTTTTTAACATGTCTTAAAATAAAGTTTGAAACAAACGGTTTCATAGAACAGCAACATAGAAGATAACTGCATAGGCTACAGAAAATTAAAGCTAGCCTACGTCTGTTTTGTGTTCTGCTGCATCGCATTAACAAATCAGAGGGTTGTCCAACACCAAGTTCATTTCTTTTTCAAAACAACTTAAAAGGTCAAAGTTTTTGAAACCAACATGCAGGAGACCAGTCTTTAAAATGCAAACTGCATTCCTCATGTCAGCTCTGGAAGGGACAGCAGTCTCTTCTTCTCCATCCTCCTCCTCGCTGTACTCTTGTACCTCAGAGGAATCATTGGAGTAAAAAAATTAAATAACTAGGCTACACATAATTTTAAAATTACCTTTGCACTTGTTTACATTCATAAAATGGCCAAAAATGAACACTATAAGCGCATTTCTTGATTACTATGAATTAATTTTTTTTAACAGCTTTTGTATAAAAATGATTCTGTCCCAAGCCTTTTGATCTATATAAGCGTTTGATGATTATATCCATGACCAGTATAAGCGGATTTCATTGTACAATCCTTTAATTGTGAATTAGTAACTTAGTTTTAATGTATTATAACTATTCTATTAACAATTCTATTATTTTGCTTGTGGCATGTTTGGATTTCCATACAGGATGCTGTCTGGGTTTTTTTAAACCCCAACTGAACTTTTATTTTGAAAGAAACCTTTGTTTTCCGGTTGGATCTCCAGCTGTTGAACTTGACGCTTTCGAGTGGAGCTACTTTCCAGCGGCGGATTTACAAAGAGAGCTTGAACCTGCAGAGATGGGGGTCAAAGTTTACTACACCACGGTCACCGCTTCACGGACGGTAAGTCAGGCGGGCCGAGGCGTCCTGGCCTCCCGCTAAAAGCGGACTTTAAGCTCCGATGGATCTGCTAATAATGAACAGACACACCCAGCACCTTATCTGCTTCCTCCTGACTAACTGGAGCGGGCCTCTGCGGGATAAACGTTGCTGCTATCATTTATTTAAATATTCTAGCTTTGTGAAACTTTCTCTGCTCTTAAAATCATCCTAAAACATAAGTGTGAAGGTAATGGCGACCTGAGGCAGGTGTCTCTATTTTTACCTGAACTGCTGGAGCTCCGTTTGTTTCTCCACTGGACAAATAAACTAGCTTTATTTCATCTATTCTCTTCCAAATAATCCTAAATCCAAATAATCTTCCAGTTTAGCCAAACTCGACACATTAATCGACTTGTTTTCTGCAGGCTGGGACCTCCCGCCAAACCTCATGCATAAAACAGTCACTTTAAGCCCTCTTTCTAGCTAAACTGGACGACACTAACAAGGATGTTTAGCTGCTAATACAATCATTTATGATTTATAGATGTTAGCCGAATTAAGCTGTGGTTTGTTTTGTAACAAAACGTTGGAGTATTTTATTCTTGAGTTTTATGTTTTAGCATTTAAGTTGCATAAAATTAAATTATTTAATTTGGGCAATGGGACTCTGCAAGGGATGCTCACACTAGATGTGAACGGGTCAAAAAAAGTGCTCAGCATGCCAAGATATTGCTTTCAAAGAAAAACCCTAGAATAAAATATTGAAAAAATATGTTTTATTTTCCATACACACACACTTATAATACTAACAATAAATATCATGGCTTTCCACCCAGGGCGTCACCATTTTTGGGAAGGTCAAGCATTTTTAGCAGGATTCCAGTTTAAATTTGGATTTTCCCTTTGCTGAAGGAAATGAAATATTGCTGCCTTTCATATTGAATTAATGATATTGATATCAATATTGAATTAATCTCCATGAAGTAATACTTTATTAATCGGAAGGGAACTTAAATGTTGTTGCAGTTCGGATATAAAGCTACTCCAACATGCAACCACCTTAAGCAGCAATGTTGGTCTCTGGATATTGAATGCATCAATATAAACTAATGAGAGCATTTAATAATTTTTTTTGCTGATCATAAGCTTTTAAAAGGGTTTATTAATTATAAAAACCTGCTTTTATTTGCAAAAAACGGGGGTAAACGCTGCGGGGAACCTTTACTTCATACCCACTTCCTGTCATGAGCACGATTCACACCCAATTGTAATTACTTCACATTAATTTCCCTCTTTTCCTGTGTAGAAACACATCAAAATGACATTAAGAGATGAAAATAGAAAGTTATTCTGGGGTTTTAAGCTACTGCTAATAATAAATAACTAATCTGTTATGTTTGATGTAAATAACGTCCTTAATTTCCAGATGTTTTCTCTGACGTCTTGTCAGGTGTTTTGGATTATTTGGTCATTAGTGAACATCACTGGTATGAAGTGAGTCTCTTCTTGTGCAGCAGCTTCATAAAAAGACTCGCAGCTCTTAGACTCTCCTCCATCTGGTATCTATTAGGAGCTCATTACTTTTTAACCCTCTAGTGTTCGAGCTTCCTGTTGTTTCTAGAAGTTGCTCCTATTCTGGGTCCACTTACTTTAGTAGCAGAACTTAAAAAACAAACAAATCCTGTGTTGTTCCTCATCTAGAAACTAGAGGATCGTTCATTATCAGAGTCGATTTGGGGACTTCCTGGAACAAGTGACAGACGGTTCCGCTTTTTTCTGTCCTGTTTCAGGAAGTAACTCTGGCCTGAAAGAATCGGCTTTATGGTTCAGTTGTTTTTCCTTTTTTTTTTTAGGTGTGGTCACATTGTTTGAAAAGTCGACTTCCTTTGTCCCCACAGATTGACAGCAGATCATTAATGGGAGCAAATCAGCTACATTTGGATCATTTTACTTTCAAATTGGCTTGTTTTCATTTAGATGAAACGTTTTAGTTCATTTTATAGTTTAAATATTTCTATCAGAATTGATTTTAAATTAACTGCATTGTTGGTTTCTGTGACTTTTTTGACAATAAAGCTGTAAAAACTCCCAATTTGCTGACTTTTCACAGCCTGCAGGTTTAGCAGAGAAACTTAAAGCAATGCTGATGTGATTTTTAACCTTTGTAGCGGGAATGATAGAAACTTTTGATGATATCTGAGGTATTTTTAAAGCAGGACGACTGCTGATAGCCGATGGGAACCAGACGCTGTGTCTGACTGAGACCTTGTGCTTTTCAGGTGAAGTCTCAACAAGCCGAGGTCCTCCGGATTCTGGACAGCAAAAGCATTAAATACGAGCTGATCGACATCTCTGTGGGCGGTGAGCTACGGGAGGAAATGAGAAGCAAAGCGGGCGACTCCACCGCAGCCCCGCCTCAGTTTTTCAATGAGGACCAGTACTGTGGGGTGAGGAAACAAATATAAAAGAAACACTTTCTGTTTTTAGTCTGTTCTAATTAAATCCTCAGACTGTTTATAACAAAAATGTTTTGTAAATTAGACTATTTAAGGATACTTTTATGATCCTAAATAGGGATGCAAGTTATCCATTAATGAACTAATCTAAAGTTGATTGGGTCAGCCTAAAGCCCACTGCTCTAATTAAGTCATAAAAAATAAAGAAGAAGAAAAAACGGTCAGTTCAGGTGTTTTTATACCAAACCTAACGATTGTTGTTATCTGCTTCAAAAAAACACTTTAGATTTTAAAATGGATAAAAATATATTTTTTTATTTAAAAAGTCAAAACATAACAGCTTTAATCGAATAACCATTAATAGCCGATTGATCCTAAATCTGATATTTATTAACATCATAACCATAAACCTTATTCAATTTCTGATGTATTATAAAATTATTTTGACCATAAAAGCAAAAGGAAAAAATATAATTTCTGCAATAACCCGATTGCATAAGTTTGCGCACCCTTAAAGTGTTGTTGACGCAATATTTATTTAATGTCATTTTGCAAAAATGACATTAAATAAATAAAAAAAAATCAGGCTTATTTTTATAACAAATATCCAACATTTGGCAGCGTCACAGCAGCATTTCAATTTATAGCTGATACAAACCATCTCTGCGTGGGGATCTTTTGGAGCTAGCTCAACATTCTATAATGGAGATGGATGGAAAACAGATTTTTCTAGAATCTCTGGGATTGGTTTGCATGGCTGATCCATCAGGAGAGGGTAGTGATGCTGTGAAACATGGAGGCCCACACCTTACCTCTAGCGTACAGAGTCAGACTCTGAGCCAGAGGATGAGGCTAATTTGACATTAGCAGCCCCGGTAGAAAACACACAACTGGGAAACAAGGTTTACTATGCATCTGGTACAGATCGCATAACCAGTAATTAGTTTATAAAGAATAAATGTGTATATTATACTTTAAATGAACAAGAACAGAGCCATGCTATTATCATGAAGTTAGCCTCTGAATTCAGTATGACAGAAGCTAAAAACCATGAAAACAGCAGCTGTCTATAACAAAACCATTGTTTCAGCTCAGTCCTTCCACCGTATACATCACCCAGTCACTGAGCGGTGCTAGAGTCCTCTGAATGGTTGAGGTGTTTTGATTAAAACTATTTAATGCAGGCGCCCTTGAAATTATTCTAAGCATCTGTTAGATTTCAGCGGCTCCATCCTCCGATGACCCGGTCTACCTGGACTGGGTCCTTCTAGCTCTGTGAAAATAAGGAGGCTGGAATATTTTTGACTATGGATTCAAACGGGTCTAACCTTCCCTGGCTTTCCCCACCCGTACTTTCTGTTGCCTAGCAACCGTGAAAATTGACACAGAATGGAGGCTGTTCTTCTCATTACTGTTCTGAGTGCTAATAACATTTTCAAGGAGGTTTAGCAGCAGGACCGTCGTCTCAGATATCAGATTTATAGTCGCCACACTCCAGAGAATCTGAGCTTAAATGTCAGGCAAACCCATTTACACAGAGAAAACCTTTCAATAAACCAAACATTACAGCCACATATCTGTGTCGATAACCTTTTACAACAACTATTTTCATTGATTTCCGATGGAATTATTCACACACTTTACTATAATAAACTGCACTTCCAATATTCACCACTGATTGGCGCCATTGACCTTTTTCCTTTGAGCACAGAGCAGCTGGTTTGCTTGGACTCGCAATGAATCATGGGATACCCAAAGCTACGTAGGATACACCCGAGCCGTCCTTCAAAACGAGCAAAAACCAGGCCGCATTTATCGGCCGCATCACAAGCAGACTTCCAATCCAAACAGGCCTCGGCGCCGTGCTATGACGTAATCGACCAACCAATCTGGCCTTCAGAGGACGCAGCCGCTGGATTCGAGCTCGCCAATTAATCATTGTTAATGTTTTAGTCTTAAAAAATACTAGAAAATGTCAATGTTGTGTCATCAACACTTTAAAGAAGGTCTTCTCACCCGTTACCAGGAAGATCTGTTGTTTATCAATCATTGGAAAACTAATTCAGAGTCGACTCTTCATGCGTTTCAAGTTTCTGATTCACATTTTTGAGACGATTTCTTCTTTCTCCACAGAACTATGAGATGTTTTCAGAGGCAGTGGAAGCAGATACAGTGGAACAGTTCCTGAAACTGGCATGAGGACGGCGCTCCTTCTAAAGCCGAACCCTCCACCCGGAGCCCCGTCACTGACAGCGTCTGCACCCTCTCTACGCCATCACGAAGAATGCCAAATATTTTGAATCAATCTAAAGAAAAACATTCCCCTCTTTACTGAAAATAAGTCTTAATCTATTTTTTTTTTTTTTAGATCCTTACACCTGTTAGACTAAAAGTTATGAAGCAGCTCCAAATCCAGCAGGAATCAATGAGGTTAAACTAATCTTAGCCATGGCTGCTGGATGGCTGGAGATTAAACTAATCCACTGGATGATAAGAATCAAATCAACTTTCTGTTTCTAACCATCATCATCATCATTATGAGTTAGCCGCCTTAATCAGTATTTCATCACTTCTACACCATGATCCACTGAAGGAACACAAACCCTCAAAGTTTAAACTCTTAAAGTTTGATAAAGTCTGTTACTGATCCAAAATAAGTCACATGTACATGTCGGTTTTTCTTTTTACATTACAATAATGTAGCATTTGTTTGGACCAATCGGCTTCAACTTTCACAACCAACCAAAGAAACGGTCAAACCAATCAGCATCTTCTGATTTCTATTCAAAGCGGATTTTCTATTAAAGTAAAATGCCTGCGTTCTGTCAAACCAACATACCTATAGTCAATACGCACGTGCAAGGCGTCAGATTTGAGTTTATCCCTGTAGTTTTGTATGAAAAATACACTTTAAACTACCTCAAGGGGCGTGTATTCCCTAGTCATGGACAAAAAAACAATTTAATTACGTAGTTTTTGGTGTTTTTTGAAGCGTACGGCGATCTGAGTTTAAATTGTTGGGTTTTTTTTGTACTTGACACACCTGTCGAGGTAGTTTAAAGTCTATTTTTTATACAAAACTAAAGGGATAAACTGAAATCTGACGTCTTTCTCATGCATACTGACTGTGGTTGTGCTGGTCTGACGGAACACGGGATCCTAACTGGTTCCAAAGGTTTGTTTTGGTCCTTTAAAAGCTAACACCTGGAAAGAAGGCTGCTTAAAGTTTGCCTCCATCTCAGAGCCGTAGTGCCAATAGATCAGCTCTCTAAAATCTGCAGTGTTAGCGTGTTTCCTACCCGCTCCTTTAACCTCATAGCTGCTACTTAAAATGGTGAACAATGACGGAGTGTTTGACACAACTCAGTTTTAAACTTTGGGAAACTTTCACCAACTTTCTCAGCACATTCCACAAATCGACCTCGGTTGAAGTATAACCGACCGTTTCCATGCTTAGCAGTTCCTCCGCCTGTTTGCACCCCCCCCCCCCCCTCCATTCCTTCTGTAAACATGTCTCCTGTGATTTCTGTGCATTGTTTGTGGATGTATGCCTGCCGTTGATGTACGTTCACCATGAATCATTCCTTAGACATTCCACTCTGTGTTACTTTTGGACCAATTCCCCTTGGCCAAAAACAAAAGAAAACTGTTTAAAATAGGGACTAAAAAGTGGTTGTCTTCCAAGAAGATTGTGAGAAATGATTTATGGGTTGAAAATAAAGAAGTTAAAAAAAAACTTTTTGGGTCATTTATTTGCCTCCACGGAGCGTTGTTTCTTTTAATTGTTTTGGTTTGTTTGGATCGTTGATTAAATTAGAACATCATTAATTTAGTTTCAGTGAGCAAATTCTGAAGGTGAGACTTCTTATCAACTCTATAAAGCTGCCTTTTCTTCTGACATGAACTAAAGCTGGCCAGTTTTTTTTCCAGTCCAGACTCAAAATTATGGAAAAGTTCATTTCTGTCGCTAAAGGACTGGGGACGGTTACAACACCTTGTCGTCTGCCATTTTGGCCGACAACAACCATCTCCTTTACACTCTTCTTTTTAAAAAAGAGAGGAGTCTGTCATATTGAGATTATTTATATTGCAATATAATGAAACATGAATGCCGGTAGGTTATTTTTCATCCATTTCATACCTGATCTTATATTCATTTAAAACTGTTTATTCTAAATATTTGGGACAAAGATCTAATTCAGAGGTTCTTTTTATAGGTAGTTTATGGAAAGAAAAACTTGACATGAATATATATTGTTAAATAATCAATTTAGTTTATTTCTATAGCACCAATTCACATCACATATCATCTCAAGGCACTTTACAGTTCACTAGATCATACAGTCAGATTAAAGTTTTCTATCTAAGAAAACCAGTTAATTGCATCGACTCATTGACTCGAAGGAAATCCCTCATGCTAATTATGCTTGTAGCGACAGTGGAGAGGAAAAACTCCCTTTGAACAGGAAAAAACCTCCAGCAGAATCAGGCTCAGTGTTAGCGGCCGACTGGGGTTCAAGGAGACAGAAGCAGAGATACAGAAAGCAGCTGTAAACTGTGGCCCCGTCCAAATATCAGTTAAATAATTTTGGGTTTGTTGAATAGAACCCAACCGCACATAGCTGCTATTTAACTCCACTCTGATTTTACCCCCTTAATTTCTGCCTTCTCTCTTTGTGATTGTTTGTTTTCTAGTCCATGTGTTATTCGCGCTTGGGGGCGCATAATAAAAAGAAAATTGACGCTAGAATAACGCTGCTACTACAATTAATATTAGGGTACGAAACTAGTCCCAATTGAAAAACTAAATATCATCTATACGTTGCTGATTGTCCTTCTGTAAAGAAGCAAAAGAGAGTATTTTGATTTGGATCAGGTGATGTCTAAACGATTTTAATCACAGATTATTTATATACAATATGAATATCATTTTGTATTTGATATGGCTGAATTTAGGGAACTCGAACAATGAGTGATGATGTTGCAGCACAGGTAGACAGAGAAGTGGCTTCAGGTGAGACTTTCATTTTGTTAAGTCATTGATCCTGTGATCTCTGCTGGGGCTCACAAATGATGCCTCATTAATTTTACTATAGTTTGCCTGATTAACATGTTTGTTTGGTTGGCTGCTATCTCAACTTCAGATGTATTATGTAAGAAATTTGTTTGGAATGTTTCCATAAAATTAGGGCTGCAACTAACGATTATTTTGCAATTCGATTAATCTGTCAATTATTTTTTTTTTATTAATAATCGGATAGCCAAAGGTTCCCTAAAGAAGATATTTTATGACAGAGAAAAACATTTTTTTTAAATCTTAAATGCTAAATGTTTATATATTTTATAATCACAATGATATATAGTATAATATACCTGCTCTAAGTGGGTCGTTTTGTCAGCTAAAGTCATGTTTTAGAGTCTCTATACTCCAGTTAACGATTAATCAATTACTAAATTAGTTGATGATTATATAAATAATCAATTAATCCAATAAATTTTTTCAGCCATAGATAAAATACATGAAATGGGCGACACAGAGTTACAACAGCCCAGATGTACAAATTGTATAGTGAAGTTAATATTTTAAATGCTCAGTGTCAGTTCCTCTTATAGTTCCAGTGCACATGTAAATACAATACATTTATTCGCCATCCCTTGAATGTATTATTATGCATGATATATAGAGAGTATATTAGATGAAAAAATAACTGTGGGTTTACCTCTGTTTACTTCTGCACAATTCTATATCTTCAAAAGGAAACGCAGGATAAATCCACATATAACAGACATATTTAGGCTATATTTGGGTAAATAGGCACATATTGACCTACTGTCTTAGTCACTGTTGAGTTGAACTGAAACCCCTCACATGCATAAGAGCCGGTGATGCTTCAAACATTGATATACAGCATCTAGTGTGTGTAGTTCTTATAAAATTTGTATTATTGTAGCAAGAAATGCTGCTTTCTCTTTAAATGAAATGTGCCCTGATGCTCACGTCAAGCATAAAAAAAATATCTTGCATATTTTTGCAAAGGACCAATAACATCAGACCAATGAAACAGAAGACCAATAGTGTCCCTACCAAAGATGATATCAAAGCTACGCCCTTGCTTTCAAGTCATGCTGACCATGTGACTTTGAAGTAAACTAAATGATTCAATCTAATTTAGCTGTAATAGAATCATACAAACTGCCCGGACCGCATGACAGAAAGGCCACATGAGAAGATAAATATGGATGATTTAGAAAGGATCTTCTGTCCTAGGGTGTGAGGCTGTGCACAATCAGTCGCCATCAGTGTCCACGGTGGTACTGCATGGGGGCTGCAAAAGTTTTGGTTGGTTAGACTTTTTTTTTCATATTCCCCCCTGCTTTTTTCCCCACTAATTGAAATGTCTTTAAATCCACATTAACATGAATTCAACACACTGTAGTAAACAGATAGATGGAGGCAGAGGATGTCTTTTAGTCATCAATGCACACATTCAGCAACACAGGAGCTCTTTCAAGCTGGGAACCGTTTCATTCACAACACCTGTCCCATCAACCAGTAATAAGAATCAGAAATACTTTAATAATCCCAGGGAGAAATGACTTTCGTTACATGTCTCCATATGTAATAGAGTGACTATAGGACCAGTTTGATATAACACAATTTCATACAATATATATAATGAAGGAGTCCCGCTCCACTTCACCGTCAGTTTGGGGGTCCTTTGTCTGGAAAACGTTGAAGGCCCCTTCTGTAGTGTGTTTGTGATTAGCGGAAAATGACTTAAAGCAAATGTCCTCAGTCTCCTTACTTGAAAATTGATGCATCTTTCTCAGGTTTATTGGCAGCTTTGATTGGTAGCATCTTTTCAATCAGGGCTAAGCAATGGTCGCTCCAAAACATTGACTGTGACATCGTTAAGAAGCTTAATATGCTTAAGACCAGTTCATCTCAGGTGTTTGCAACCTGAGGGTCCAGATTTGCATGTTGGACTCTGTATCTTCCAAAATGACTATTGGACAAAAATGATAAACTAGTTTTAAACTAATAGTTTTAAAACAACAAATGCAGGTTTCAGTAGGTTTTTCATGGTTACAAGTAGTGATGGTTAATGAGGCATCTTGAAGCCAAAATGTATTGATGCTGACTTGATACTGTCTCACAGAATACTGACACCTGCTGGACCTTTACAGACACTACAGGCAGTCTATTGGACAGACTAAACTGAAATAATTTGATGAACTATGGGCTCGACACACCGACACTTCGGTGTGGCTGGACCCATCACTAATTAAAACTTAATTTTTTGAAGAATGAAAGTCACCATTTGACATAAAGGGTAAATAAAAAACTAATCATTTAAAGCGACATTTCTAATTCTAACACAACCTGACACACATGATTGGAGCTTTTAATGTGAAAATATGTCCGGAAGTTGAGCTGCTGGCTGACCGGATGTTGGTAAAGTGGCTCTAGAAGAAGGAAGCTGTAAGATTTGACAGACAACAGCTGAGGTAACGATGCTTATAAATGAATGTTACTCATTTAAAACCATAAATGTGTCTAAGATAATCTTCGCTAACCTGTCTTTGGCTTTAAACTCTGTGTCGCTGCTGTTTGATAGCTGTTAGCATCGTCTGTTTATCATGCAGCTAAGCTAAGCTAGCTAACACTTGTAGTAATTTATAGCAGAATATCACTGAATGAAAAGCTGTATGGGGAAATAATTAAATGGCTTATAAAATAACATATTTGGTAAATTATTTTCCATTGTTTTATTCCCTGATAGTTCACTGCGGACTGATTAAAGCTGCATTGTTTACATTGTTTACAAAGACAGCAGCAGGTGCAGCATCAGTTTAATTCAACAGAGGATTGATTTTAATTTGTTTTCCTTACTGTGAGCAAATCCTCTATTTCAGCTCCCAAATAAAGCACTGCTTTATTAGTTTTATAGACACTGGGTCAGATGAGTTAGGCTATTTAGTCAAACCTTAACTAGAATGATAAAAATGTAAATTGAAACAGTTGGAATTTGTGAAACCACAAAATGAGCTAAATAGTAATAATGGAAAGAAGATTTTGATCCTTTATTAGATCAACTATGCTGAATTACTTATACTAAGAAGCCAAACCAAACATGATATATATTGTCTGTTTAATGCAGCTTTAAATGTTTTACAGGGTAAAAAAGTTTTAGGAGGTTTAGTCAACAAAAGACCTCAAGAGTTTATCTATGAGCCACCATTGAGTACAATATTGGGTAGTTTTTCTGTTATTTTTTATTAATTTTAATTCAGTTTATTTATATAGCACCAATTCACAGCACATGTCATCTCAAGGCATTTTGCAGTTCACCAGATCATCCAGTCAGATTGATTTAAGTTTAAGTTTGATTTAAAGTTTTCTATCTAAGGAAAACCTGTTGATTGCATCGACTCATTGACTCAAAGACAATCCCTCACACTAAGCATGCTTGTAGCGACAGTGGAGAGGAAAAACTCCCTTTTAACAGGAAGAAACCTCCAGCAGAACCAGGCTCATTGTGAGCGGCCATCTGCCGAGGAGGACTGGGGTTCAAGGAGACAGAAGCAGAGATACAAAAAGCAGCTGTAAAAGTCCAGGAAACACACAGCCAGGCAGACGAGAACTGAGCCAGGATGAAGAGAGCACATCCAGCCAGTCACAGTCAGAGAAACAGGACTACACTGGAAAACAGGCCAATTTCCAACATCTAT